TAATATAAAATTAATTTATTTAAATTATTTGCAATTTTTGAATAATGAAATCTCTATTCAACCACTGTGCATTTCTGGCCACATTCGCCAGGCGGCTGCTCCCTGCATGTCAGAGCGTCCATTCGATCTGTGCCTCTGGGAGCGCCACATTTGGACGTTCTGTGAGAACTGAGAACTGAGCACCGAGAACAGAGCAAGCTGCAAGCAGTTTGCCAAATGTTAAGCAATACTTAAATAATATTTCACTTTAGTTATTAACTAGCAGTCAGCTTGGAGCTGAGAGCTTGTAGAGCCGATTTCAGTTGTCAATTAAAGCTGAAGTCATGCAGTTGCTCCCATTGGTAGGATCGTTCATTGTGCTCGCCCAAGGTCAGAACTGGCCCAGCGATTCGCTTATTACATCGAGTAAGCTCAATCCAAATACTTATGTTTACTTTAACTTGCACACAAATCCATCATCTCATCTTGGATGCATTGCAGTCCGCTGTTGGGAGATCGTCGATCCAGGTCACTGCAAAGGCAGCTTCAAAATGTTTGGCTATGATCCCTACGCCGGCTTATGCATACCCTTCTTTTATACTGGCTGTGGCGGCAATCCGAATCGCTTTCAATCCGAAATTGAGTGCATCAACAAGTGCAAGATGACCAGCGAGGAGCTGGAGTACGACACCAGCTCTTCAAGCATGAACCAGGGATCAGGCGATGACGTAACCGACCTAGTCAACATAGAGCAATCAGTTGAAGTCGGAAGTGGAAGCAGTGAAAATTCAGATATTAGTGAGCCAATAATAACCGAAGAGTACTATGACAAAGAAGTAACTCCGAAACCGATCGAAGATGATGAGGGTTATTTCCATAATCATAGTGACAATGAAATATCATCAGAAAGCTAAATGCTTTATTTAGATAAACCCATTCCATGGTTATAAAAAAAAATTGTTATGCCATATAAAAATTAATTGAAATGGAAATTGTTAATAAATAAATTAATTAAAATTTAAATTTGTGCGCACAGAAGAGAAGAGAAGAGAAAAGAAGAGAGAGAGGAGGCATGTGTTTGTCTTTGCGGATGTTGAGCTTGTCATAGATACAGCTCCAGGCTATACAACAACAACAACAACAACAACAAGAACAACAGCAACAATTACAAGTTGCGTAGCCAATGCAGCGGAACTAAATCATTTACGCCTTAAACTGTGCGATCGAATGCCGACTCTGAGCCAGAATCGTATCGCACATTCTAATGTCTTTATTATGAGCAATGCAGAGCAAGAGCAATATATTGTTGCTGTTGCTGTTGCTGTTGTTGCTGCTGCACCCACTAATCAACATGACGTCAGGGGTGTGCCGCGTCGTCGTCGTCGTCGTCGTCGGCTTGCTGCCTTTTAAGTGTGCCGTATGGTGAAATAAATACGAGCAACCCGTCCGTCCAGGGCTGGCTGCATAGCAGTTGACTTAGCTGCCTTTGACAATTATTTATGGTAATAAAGAGAACCGCTAGCTTTGGCTTTAGCTTTGGCTCTAAGCTGCATCCAGCTACACGGATAGACATGAATCTGCAGGTAACCGAGCGTCAAGCCCATGTGCTACAATTTCTATAAAATTTAACGATCTCAGCGATTTGTGCAAATGCAAAAATGCCAGCGATTGGCAATTAGCAGTCGAGCGCAGCATATTAAAACGTTGAAACGTCATTGAGTTGAGTGCAATGGGCAACGGGCAACGGGCAACGGGTAATGGGCAATGGGCGGGCGGTCGTCCGGTCAAACAAATGGCCAATGTCTCATTAATGCCACACAATGGAGGCAGCCAGCGGCAGGCGACGCGACGCGACGTCCCGCTGCGTCCAAAATATGCAACATTCATCAATCACACAGCGCTGGCCGCGGAATGAGAATGAGTTCACGCCGTGCACTTGGGGTCGGGTCGAGCGGCGGACTGCAAGCTGTAGCCAGAGTCCGTGCTGCGGGATTGATTTGCTTGCCGCATTTTCAAGTCAATTACACATATTTGTGGCATTTGTGGCACTCGTATTTGGATACCCACCGCATGGTGGGTCGCGCTTGTAGGTGTTAGCCGTTTGTCTGTTTTGCTATGTTTTGCTACGTTTCGCCGTCATCCGTCGATTTTGTTTGTGTACGCGTGGCATGCCACAACAACAACAACAACGCCGTGTGTGTCCGCCCACAGTGTTGCGCTGGTCAAACAATGCCACAACTGAGTCACATTCGCAGTCAGGCGAGCCATTATTCATGTCCAATACATTTGCACAATGGCCATTTGGTGGGCCATCGAAGGGTTAACTATCGTCTCTTATCGAACAGCTGTTYAAAAGCTTCGCACGCCCACCACACACACACACGCACACACATATACGCGCACAAAGCTAAACAACAACAAAGCCCCAGGCAGTAAATTGATAAGAAAGCTTTTGCTCACTTGGCTGTGCGACGCATGTCTAATAAGCACAACGAAAGCACAAGAGAGGGCGTGTGAGAGAGGGAGAGAGAGAGAGCGTGAGTTGAGAGAGTGCGGGTGAGAGCGTGCGCGCGCATTGATTACGAATGCAAGCTCATCACTTAAAGCACAGATTGAGCAATGTTTATAAACGTAAATATTAAAAAAAAATCCTAATAATTAATTTTTTTTTTTTTAATTTTATTGTAACACAATCATTAATTAAAATTAATTAAAATCAAATATTTTATGTATTTATTCACAGTAAATATTTGCACTTATTTCTGTGAGTAAACGGTAATAATATTTGGGTAATCAGAAATAAAATCATGAAAAAAAAATAAATAATTTTTAAAAGTTTATTATAGAAAACTTAAATATTTAA